GGGGGGGGGGGGGGGGGGCAAATGCCCCCCTTGCCCTCCCCTGTGGGCGCCCATGCTTTAGACTAACGTTCGACCTACTGACTCTAGACTTATATTGGACTTACTGCGGTTAAAACTTGACCAAAGAATAGAATTTTAAAAAAATAATCGAAATTAAAGAAGATGTCAAACGCCTTCTTCAATGAAACAGCAACAGTACGACGTCGATCAGCCGGATAAATTGTGATTTTTACTCGGTACTGATTGGGAATTAATCTTGATTATCGAAATTCATAGCAAACCTGTTAGTTTTATCTTCAGTTCAGTAAATTAACATTTTAAAAAAAAATCCAATCATAAAAATCATATCTTCTTCTTCTTTGTCTTTTCAATGCCCAATAGACCAGTGGTTCTCAACCTTCCTAATGCCGCGACCCCTTGTTACAGTTCCTCAAGTTGCGGCGACCCCCAAACACAAAATAATTGTCGTTGCTTCTTCATAATTGTAGAGAATATGTGTTTCCGATGGTCTTCCGCGACCCATGTGAAAGGGTCATTCAGAACCCGAACCCCCCCCCCCCCAAAGGGGTCGCGAACCCCAGGTTGAGAACCGCTGCAATAGACCATTTTAAAAAAATGCCATAAATCCTAATAAACAAAAATAAAAAAAAATACCCCCAAACACAAAATAATTGTTGTTGCTTCTTCATAATTGTAGAGAATATGTGTTTCCGATGGTCTTCCCCCACCCATGTGAAAGGGTCATTCCGAACCCGAACCCCCCCCCCCCCAAAGGGGTCGCGAACCGCAGGTTGAGAACCGCTGCAATAGACCATTTTAAAAAAATGCCATAAATCCTCATAAACATAAATAAAAAAAAAGATGACTTGTTCGTTGCTATCTTAATACGCATATGTTCACATACACAAGTAGCGGGGGTTCACATACACAAATAGCGGGGGTTCACATACACAAATATTGGGGGTTGTCACATACACAAGTGAATGGGACATCTTTTTGACATCTCTTGTTTGTTGCCTAAGGCGATAACGGAATGCAATCTCAAACCCTGAGAGACGTAAATATTAGTTGAAAATTTTAATTTGTTGAATTTGATTCGGATACCATAGTTTCCAAAAGTTGAGTATGAGTTACATACCAAAAATTAAATCCGGTATATACATATGAACGATGTGTTAAATGTCTTAATCGTCTTCAATGTACAGTGCTGCTAGATAGGGCAAGGTGTTCAATGTACAGTGCTGCTAGATAGGGCAAGGTGTTCAATGTACAGTGCTGCTAAGTCGAGGTGTACAATGTACAGTTCTGCTAGGAAGAGGTCGTTTTTAGGGAGTCCAGCTATTTTAATTACAGCCAGCAACAAAATTAAATGTTGAATATTCTTTGATATATCCATTAAATCATTGACCGACTTCTCTCTTGGTCAGGATGAGGACATCCTAACACAGCCATGGGAAACACGTGCAAGACATACTCAACGGTCATTGATATCGACCAGCCGCTACTGCTTGCCGTGAGGGCAGGCAATAGAAATCGGGTGAAGAAGCTGCTCAAGGAATGGGGAAAGTACGGCGGAACCCTAACACGAGCCTTGTCAGAGGCGGCGAAGCATGACAGGAAGAACATCGTCAGTTATTTATTGAAGCGTATGGACGTCGACCGCATCAACTCAGCGGGGCGGACAGCTTTGATAGAGACAGTTTTAGCCGGGCACGTGGGAGGAGCTGCGCTGCTGTTGGAGTGTAACGCCGACCCCAATGTCTGCGATTCTGTAACTGGAAACAGTCCGCTCATTTTGGCGACTGAGTGCGGCAACTGTGAGATGGTTGGCATCTTGATAACAAGGGGAGCGAATCCGAATTACATAAACCCCAACAGAGGGATGAGCGCTCTGATGCTGGCGTGCCAACAAGGCCACCAGACGGTGGTGGAGACGCTGTGCAATCTGCCGTCGTGTGATGTGGAGCTCCTGAACGCCAAACGGCAGAATTCCCTCATGTTCGCGTGCACATACGGCAGCGAAGGCGTCGTGGCTTTGCTGTTGGATAAGGGCTGCCTGCTAGATGTCGCGGACGACGATGGCGCAACGGCTTTCCTTAAGGCAGCAGCGCACGGCCACCTTGGCATTATAAGGCAGTTGGTCAACAAAGGATGCGGGACGGACGTCGTGGATAAAGCAGGTCGAAACGCCCTAAGCTTGGCTCTCGCCAGCCAACACACGGAAGTCGTGGAGTTCTTCAGGACGGCGTCGGGTACGGAACATCAGAATCTCCCTGTGCACGTAGAGCGTATCAAGGCAAATAATTGTGATTCCTTGAATGGAAGGCAGACCGCTCAAAATGACGAAGACAAACCTGTAGAAATTGATGAGATAGCGGACAAAAAGGGAGAGGTGGATGGGGTTATCGATGACATGGAAACGACCGATGTTAAACTGGGCGGCCGGGACATCAGACCGGTTGTGGTCAACGTGACGTCATCCATTAATGACCCAGCTGGTGCAGAGGAGGAAATAAAAGAGGCGACTCTTGGACCCAACGATTGTGGGAATGAGAGTTGTGAAGAAAAAGAGGCAGACACCACCGACTTGGTGAATAGATCCAAAGGTCGGGAACTCTGCAAGGAATATCCCAAAGGTAGGTGGTCTCTTTGTTGCGTCGTGGTCAAATGTTATCTTTGCCATTTTGATTTTTTTTAAAGTTGAAAAGTTTCAAACTCTAAAGAACTCCTCTTTTTTTTTTCTTTTTTTTCACAATTTTTGCGTGTTTACTTTTTGTCAAATCTTGTAACTCAATTTTTCGACCTGTTCCCTTCTTGAAATTGTACGTTGTTACTCAATCCCGGTTACAATCCAACCCTACTTGATCAGTAGGTCGTCAATGACATGACTTACCCTTGCGTGGCCTAGCAAGTCAAATATTTTTTAAAAAATGAGATTTTAAGACATCAGAGCGCTGTTAGTATGCTTAAATAGCACGGAGACAAGCGCTATCCAAATATGCAATCATCATTTTGCAACTCCAATTCGACCCACTTCATAAACTCTTATTGAGCTGAATAAAAAAAGAACATTGCTTTAATGGGCGCCCCTACCCCCCCCCCCCGCACCTTTAAAAAAACATATGGCTATAACTAAAAAAAAAAAAAAATTGCTTTTATGGGCGCCCCCACCCCCCCCCCCCCCGCACCTTTAAAAAAACATATGGCTATAACTACTCTGAAATGTTGGGGAGCTCTTATTGTATTCTTTTTGGTATATTTCTTCGGGAAAAGCATGTTTTTATTATGTGTTTGTTTAATGTACATTATATTATTTTATTCAGTATCATTTATGTTTTGTTATATGCGTGTCGTAAAATGTTGAGTTGTTTGTTGAGCTCACACACTTAGCTCCAGTCATTCAATATCGACTTGCTCTGATGAGCTCACACACTTAGCTCCAGTCATTCAATATCGACTTGCTCTGTTGAGCTCACACACTTAGCTCCAGTCATTCAATATCGACTTGCTCTGATGAGCTCACACACTTAGCTCCAGTCATTCAATATCGACTTGCTCTGTTGAGCTCACACACTTGGCTCCAGTCATTCAATATCGACTTGCTCTGTTGAGCTCACACACTTGGCTCCAGTCATTCAATATCGACTTGCTCTGTTGAGCTCACACACTTGGCTCCAGTCATTCAATATCGACTTGCTCTGTGGAGCATCAACCCTCCTACCTAGCTCACACACTTGGCTCCAGTCATTCAATATCGACTTGCTCTATGGAGCATCAACCCTCCTACTCTCGACCCCAGAGAAAAAAATACCTTAATTTGTGCGAAAACGGATAAATCCAGATATTTAGCTCAAAATGCTTTTTTTTTTTTTTTTATTATTAAAAAAAAGAACAGTGCAACGGAGCATGAAAAACTGTTTGCTTGGAGCAGCTGACAATTTAAACAGCCTTGACTACTTGTCAAATGCACCCCTTTCCTTCTTTTTATTTAGCCCAAAATGGTTTTTTTTTTTTTTTATTATTAAAAAAAAGAACAGTGCAACGGAGCATGAAGAACTGTTTGCTTGGAGCAGCTGACAATTTAAACAGCCTTGACTACTTGTCAAATGCACCCCTTTCCTTCTTTTCTGTCAACGCACGTGATTTTACCACCATCTGGTGTGACGCGTTTCCATTTGGTCAAATCAAAAAAGTACTCTTTGCCATGGAGTTTTCTACCTCTTTCAAATGAATGCCCTACCCTGTTATTGCTTAATGCATACTATGCACAGACTCTCCCTCCTTCTATCGCTTCAACATCACTGTCTAATCCATGAGGTGGATAAAACAAATTCGCGGACGGGATGGTGCCCGCGGTCCGTATTTCGGTGACCAATGGCTAAACCTTTGAGCTTTCTATTTTAAAAGTAAACAAATAGGAGGAATTATTGCCTGTGCTTCAATTTTATGCTCTTACCCGATTTTTCAACTTCGACCCAACAATATATCACCCCACAACTTGTTCAAATATTTGATAACCAGCATACTTTTTGCTTATTTCCAGCGAGGACCTTCCCGAGGAGATCAAAGTCCACATTGACCGAACAGGAGCATTCAATGCCTCCCAACACTTTAAAGGCGGGGAGCCATCTCCCTCCAGTGGACCTCATTGATAACCAGGACATAAAAAAGCCAGTGTCTGCTAAAAGAAAGAATGGAAAACGCTCAAATGACAAAAACGATAAGTACGATTTAAAAAAAAAATAAAATTGCTCTTAATAATTTTACTGTGAAATTTAAGAAAAAAAAAGGATACAATTTTTTTGCAGCTGCGCTGAATCAGTTAATTTAGTTTCGTAAGTTAAGTTTTGAGGTTTTCTCCCTATTATAAGATAGTATACAATACATAAATATTTATAGGCTGACCTTATAAAGCTTAAAAAAACGAATCAATTTAAATATGTTCTGATTTTAAAAACAACGATAAGAATTTTTCTATTATTTTAATTTACTGGAATCGCATCTATTTAAATAGGATAAAAATAAAATAACTCTGCGCATATTTAAAAATTAAAGTATACAATTAAGTATTATACTTTTAAATTACATTAAACTTAATCATTAAATAACTATTTGAATTATTTTATCCAAATTTGAACGTTTAAATATCCTTTCTATTATTTTATTAGTACTATAATTAGTAGTAGTTCGCAATCACGCGTATTGTTAATTGGGGGGATCCAAGAATCTGTTATTATTTCATTTTTAATATTGTGAAATTAAAATTAAAGTTATTTTAATTGCCCAAAATAACGTCTGTCGTAATTAGAATGAGACAGCATCATTCAACTTTTATTAATATTATTATCATCATCTATAATTTAATATTATAAATTTAAATGAAATTAGATTGAAATTTATAATGACAGCCCAAAGAAATTACGTATTTTCATCAATTTGAGTGTATTTTGTATAAGACATTTTAATTTCATCTCACGGTAATTTAAGTTTAAGAATATATTTAAGAGTAAAAAAAAAAAAAGATTAAATGCAAATTCTTCATTATAGTTTTAAAGTGCCAAAGCTAGTAGACAATTCGGTAACAATTGGGATAAAACTACTTTAAAATGGGGCATAGTCCTATATATTTCCTTGAAAAAAACAGCTTTCCAAAGTTTAGATGTTGAAAAAATAAAATAGATCGAAGTATAATTTATTCAAATCAATGCAGAAATTTAATTCATTTATAGTGATGACCAATGTTCCCTCTAAGGTTTGTTGGTTCGTGTGCAAAATCATACAGTTGTGTGCAAAATCATACAGTTGTGTGCAAAATCATACAGTTGTGTGCAAAATCATACAGTTGTGTGCAAAATCATACAGTTGTGTGCAAAATCATAGTTGTGTGCAAAATCATACAGTTGTGTGCAAAGTTTTACAGCTTCAATTTTTTGTGCGCAAAATTTTACAGCCCCCTCACTTACATGGAAGTTTGCTGCGCGGTGTCTGTGAGATAGCTGCGCGCCGCACAGCTTAAAGGGAACATTGCCGGTACTGGTAATAGTCAGAGGCGTAGCGAGAGTGTTTGGCGCCCGGGGACAAGATTCACTTTAAAGCGCCCGCTTTTATTTTGTTCAACTCTCAAACCCATTATGTTCATCAATAAAGTAATATCAAAGCACCTTTTGGCGCCCCTAACTAACTGGCGCCCGGGGGACATCTGCCCCCCCCCTTTCGCTATGCCTCTGGTAATAGTACTGCTAGCTTTATAAAACAAAAAAAAAAGTTTAGTTCTTTACTCCTAATTTTTTCTTTCTTCTTTCAATGCCGCTAAATTATTTCATTAAAGCTGAGGCTTCTATTTTAAAACAAGAATAAACATCTTGTGACCGCCACAACAAACCAGCATAAGGGACAGCTACAATTATTTTAAATGCCAAAACAAAATTACATCAACAAGAAAACTTTACTAATTTCTATTTTCTTTTGTCATAAATTTAACCCCCCCCCCCCCAATATCCTACTGCAGGAGTACTGATAATCTAATGAATCTGAAATACAGAGAGCCAGAGCTGTTCTATATAAAATATTTATGTTAATGAAATTTTTATTTCATTCATGAAATTTTTATTTCATTCACAAATGAATTAAGGATAGAACTGTTATCACACGTTAAAAGCAAAGCAATACATGTCATATAAATCTAAAAAAGGAAATAAAATCACATAAATATATTTAAGCAAATTTTAAGGCTATGTGAAATAAACATTTAGCCAACATATCTCCCTTTTTACTTTTCTGAACACAAATGTTTCAAATGATGTCCAAGGTCAAATGCACACAAATTCAAAAACTTAAAAAATTCACAAATTTCAAGAAACTCAAATTAATTGTTTGTGTTTCTAGTTTATTTTCTAACTGATTTTAAATTTAAAAAAAACAAGGTTATTTTAAAAATAAAAAAAGTTTTACTATTTTTTTTCTAAATTGAATTAGTAGAAATTTTGTTAAAAAAATATCAGCCATGTGTGGATTTAATGATTATTGAGAAAAATCATTCAAATAATCCTCCTCACTATTTAATACATTTATTTTTTAAAACATTTATTTCTATAATTGTCTGCTTTTCTTCACTCAGACATGTTTACATACTAGGACTTGCCATTTCTTAGTTTACTTTTAACACATTAGTTGTGAATAAGCAATTCTACCAAAGGTTTATGCAGATACATCATAAAATCATCATTAATTTAATGACAAAAAATCTATGTTTCTCCGTCAGTAAAGATTCTTTGCAATAGCTTTATACATATTTTTTTTTTAGCCTTCAAAGAACACACTTGTGTAAATTACAGCAACAAAGATATCATTGGCAATAGGTAGGCTAAATGTTGATGAAATTACACAAATGTTTTGAATTACTTTTAATTTTATGTCACTAATTTGATCTAATGTGCGTGCATTAATATTGTTTGAGTCTCACTATTCTAATGAGAATTTTGTTTCTTTCTTTTACATTTGAGATTATTTTGTTTCAATACTTTTAGCTCTAATTTCAATTTTATACCAGATACTTCAGATACCTTTCTCAGTGAAACTTTAAATTGGGCCCTAGCATACTGTTCTTCTTCTTCTATATCTTAAGGGCCCACGATCAATTTATTGATCATTTTGGCTCCTGTTTATGCACACCTTAATCTAGCTTCTAAGAATTCTAACTGAAGTTTACACTTTTCTAAACACTGAGCTACATTGACCTTATTTAAATTGTTAACTTTCAAACATGTGAGTTAGAATTTTTTAAATTCAAAACCATCTGTTGTCTCTTGTTTTGTAATGTCAGCTGAAGGGGGCATCTATCTCCTAATGTTGTTTCAGTTGTCCTGTCTTTTCTATTAAAGCTTAAACATATCTTGTTCCACTATTTATGAAATTTAAATAATGGTACCATCATAAGTTCACACAATAAATATGTAACTTCTAAAAGTGCATAGGTGATGGGTTCAAGTTAAATATAAGTAAATTATTAAATCACTTAACTATACTATTGCTCTTACAGTGGTTAAAATATGTACAACATAAGATGAAAATAAACATTTCATATGAGCTTTTCATGACAACTGTGTAGTAGAATGTTCAAGTCCCAGAACCCGTTCCTGTATCTTAATATTATCATTATCACTATTCCCCTTATAATTATAATCCTTACATTGTTTTGGATGAATTTCACCTAGTGGAAAACATAGTGTAATATGGTAAGGACTGAATGCAGTTTTTAGCATGAAATATAACATATAAATTAGCCAAGGTGATTTGAATGAGTGGGTCAGGGTTCTTTGGACTTGTTTACCATTTATGAGTATTAAAACACAGATGGACAAAAGTCACATTTGTAAGGTCTCTCTCCTATGTGAATTCTTTTGTGGCTAATTAAATCTGAATGGAAGGTGAATGCATAAGGACAAATGTTACATTTGTTATGTTTTCTCTCCTTTGTGCTGCCTTTTGTGACCATTTAAATGTGATTTATTAATAAATGCAGAAGGACAAATGTCACATTTGTAAGGTTTTTCTCCCATGTGCTGTCTTTTGTGAGCAATTAAAGTTGCCTTTTGAGTAAATGAAGATGGACAAATGTCACATTTGTAAGGTTTCTCTCCTGTGTGCTGTCTTTTGTGAGCAATTAAAGTTGCCTTTTGAGTAAATGCAGATGGACAAATATCACATTTGTAAGGTTTCTCTCCTGTGTGCTGTCTTTTGTGAACAATTAAAGACCCATTTTTGGTAAATGCAGATGGACAAATGTCACATTTGTAAGGTCTTTCTCCAGTTTGCTGTCTTTTGTGAACAATTAAAGTTGCCTTTTGGGTAAATGCAGATGGACAAATGTCACATTTGTAAGGTTTCTCTCCTGTGTGCTGTCTTTTGTGAACAATTATAGATTTCTTATTGGCAAATGCAGCTGGACAATTGTCAAATTTGTAAGGTCTTTCTCCAGTGTGCTGTCTTTTGTGAAAAATTATAGATTTCTTATTGGCAAATGCAGATGGACAAATGTCACATTTGTAAGGTTTTTCTCCAGTGTGCTGTCTTTTGTGAACAATTATAGATGTCTTATTGGCAATTGAATAATGACAAATGTCACATTTATAAGGTTTCTCTCCAGTGTGCTGTCTGTTGTGAACAATTAAAGTTCCCTTTCGGCAAAATGCAGATGGACAATTGTCACATTTGTAAGGTTTCTCTCATGTGTGCTGTCTTTTGTGAGCAGTTAAAGTTGACTTTGAGGCAAATGAAGATGGACAAATGTCACATTTGTAAGGTTTCTCTCCAGTGTGCTGTTTTTTATGTCTATTTAAATTTTTTTTTGCAGCAAATGAAGATGGACAAATGTCACATTTGTAAGGTCTTTCTCCAGTGTGCTGTCTTTTGTGAACAATTATAGATTTCTTATCGGCAAATGCAGCTGGACAAATGTCACATTTGTAAGGTCTTTCTCCAGTGTGCTGTCTTTTGTGAACAATTAAAGTTGCCTTTTGGGTAAATGCAGATGGACAAATGTCACATTTGTAAGGTTTTTCTCCAGTGTGCTGTCTTTTGTGAACAATTATAGATGTCTTATTGGCAAATGAATAATGACAAATGTCACATTTGTAAGGTTTCTCTCCTGTGTGCTGTCTTTTGTGAGCAATTAAAGTTGCCTTTTGGGTAAATGCAGATGGACAACTGTCACATTTGTAAGGTTTCTCTCCTGTGTGCTGTCTTTT